AGACACCAGCCTGCGTACGCTGCAATAAAGAAAGTTAGTAACCAACTCATCCTTTCCTTATGAGTTTAATTTTTAACAGCACGCTTCCCTTGACAGACCGAGCAGCTCCTCAGCATCTTGCAATAACCTCCTACACCAACACTGCAGTTACTGCAGCTGAGGGGAGGAGACCGACCTTTGAAGATGTCCCGTACGAGCGGAGCGACGGCGGTGTTGAAGACCTCCTCCTGCCCAACCGACGGGTCGAACACGTAGTCGTAAGTGAAGGCCTTGTCGCTCCCCACGATCACCTGCGGCTCCCCGGGCACGAAGCTCAGGCACGTCTGGCAGCCCTCGCTCGTCTCCTTCGGCACCAGCGGGCGGCAGCGCAGCGCCACGCGCACCGGGATCCCCTTCTCCTCCTCCCGCACCATTCCGGGCCGGCTCGGAGCGGGCTGAGAGCTCGGAAGGAGCCCGCGAAGCTCTGGTCAGGCCCCGCGGCAGCGCAGAGCGGCCCGCAACCCTCAGCGCCACCCCGCCGGATCGCAAATGGCGGCGCCCCAACCGCCCGCTTTCAAACCGGTGCCGCGCGCCGCTCCGCCAATCACGGGGCTCACATTATCACCGCGCGCCGCTCCGCCAGTCACGGGGCTCAACGTCATCATCGCGCGCCGCGTCGCGTGAGAGCCGGGACCGAGAGAGACCGAAAGGGCGCGGCGCGGTATGGAGGGCCGGCTGCCCTACGATGATTTCCCGGTGGTCTTCCTGCCACCCTACGAGAGCCCGCCCGCATGGGTGCCGCCGCACGAGGTGAGGGAAGGCTCCGAGGGGGGGTCCGGCTCGGCAGGGCTCAGCTCGGGGCAGCGCCTCAGGCCCGCCGCTTTGTTTTGCAGAGGGTTTATCACCCCGACTATAACAATGAGCTCACCCAGTTCCTGCCCCGCACCGTCGTACTCAAGAAGCCGCCCGGGGCGCAGGTGAGGCTGTGGGACCCCGCTGCGGCCCTGACCGGGTCACTCTTGAACTCAGTGTGGCCTTTTTTCCTGTTGAATTCACGTTGTTTTCCCTAAATTGGCGAAGCTGTGAGGGACCGATAAGCTTTGACTGAGTGCCAGAGAGCACGTAGAGGGGAAGCCTGGATGGTCAGTAGAAACTGGTGAGATGCTGGAACAGCTGCCCAGAGAGGCTGTGGATGCCCCATCCATCCCTGGAGGTGTTCAAGGCCAGGTTGGATGGGGCCCTGAGCAGCCTGGGCTGCTATGAAATGTGGAGGTTGGTGGCCCTGCTTGTGGCAGGGATGTCAGAGATTCATGATCCTTGAGGTTTCTTCCAACCCGAGCCATTCTATGATTCTGTGGTGCTGAGCCTGGCAGGGGAGGGGGACTGCTGCCCTGATGGGAGTGCTGCGTGTGGAGGAGGGAGACAGCCATAGGGAATGACAATGTCTTGTGAGAGGAGCTGGTAAAGGACAGGCACAAGAGGACAACCCTGTGGGCACTGGGGGTGGGATTGCCATAGAAGTGACGTTTCACTGCTGATCTGGTTTGTCTCACAGCTGGGCTTCAACATCCGGGGAGGAAAGGCCTCACAGCTGGGGATCTTCATCTCTAAGGTGTGTTTGTGCTCTCTCTGTGTTCTGTTCTGTCTGTTCTCTTGGGTGTTGCTGAGCCAGCTGGGTGTGCGTGGAGGCTGTCATCTGCCTTTGGATGAGTCTGCAGACTCAGAGCTGTAATCTGCCGCTTTCCAGGTAGCACGCAGGCAGTGCTGCACCATTTTCTTACCCCTCCCTAGCCTGCAGGGAGCACTGCAGTCCCTGTTCTCCACATGACCCCCCACCCTGTGTGAACACGCTGCATGGACACGCTATGCAAGCTCTCGGACCTGCAGTACTGACCATAGAGTGTCAGCACTGCTGCATCTGCTCTGCCCTTTGCAGGTGATCCCTGACTCAGATGCACACAGAGCTGGGCTGCAGGAAGGAGATCAGGTGCTGTCTGTAAATGATGTGGATTTCCAGGACATCGAGCACAGCAAGGTGAGAACTTCTGCTCCCCAGCATGTGCTCTCCCAAACAGGAGGAGGAGAAGTGGTGCATACATCTTCTCCTTCAGTAGCTCAGCTGGGGGCACTGTGTAACTGCACTGCTGTTTCCTATCCTCCAAAACAGTTTGGGCATTGATCAACTTTCTGCTTTCAGGCTGTGGAGATCCTGAAGACAGCCCGTGAAATCACCATGCGTGTGCGTTACTTCCCTTACAGTAAGTGCCTGCTAGCTCCAAATCATTTCTCCTTGGGCAACAGACTGCTCTGCATCCCTGCTGATTCACCTGGGCTTAGCAGTGATGAGTCTGAAATTGTAGGTGTTGTCACACAAGCAGTCTTCATTTTAGAAAACACTGGTCTTTGATTTGGGGATCAGAAAAGTTATCAAATGAAAACAGCAGGGAGTAGCTTCAACTGCTCATGCATAGAATCTTGTAGAGCAGGACTTAAGAAAACAGTGCTAAAAGCTGAGATGGTTTCTCATGGAAGTGTACAAGAACCTGCTTATCCTTCAGTTAACACAGGAACTAGTTCTGTTGCTAGCGGACCTATGCTGATGTAGATAAACATTGCCTGTGTTCTCATTCCATCTCTGTAAGGATGTTTGAATATTGCCAAGAGGGAAAAACTTTTTAGCTATTGATTTCTGAACCCATAATGCCCAGAAATACTCACGGGAAGAAAGGAGGAATGGGGAAAGGTCAAATGAAGCCGAACAAGGATTCTTCATAAAACTGGAAACTGACCCTTAAACATAAGTATAGAAAATTAAGCAGTGAGGGAAGAGAGGGCTTTAAAACAAGCACTGAAATAACTTGAAACAACTAGCTGAAATGCAAATGTGCTATTTTAAAACCAGCTGCTATCTATGAAGGCAGTAAACAGCTTCTATTAATGAAGTATAAGCAGAATTTGTTTTCTTGTAACAGCTTGGCTAGTTTCTTCTCACCATCAGCAACTGCTCTCGTGCCCCTTCAGCCTTGCCTTCTTTTTCCTGTCCAGATTACCAGAGACAGAAAGAAAGAACTGTTCACTAGTAGGCAGCTGTCTGTGGCGTCCTCTCTGGAGGAACTGTCCTGCAAGAAACTCTCCACTACCTTTCCTCAACATCTGAGATGACGTATTAAGTTTCAGTTGTCACTGGAGGCACAACTGCACAGGTGTCAGCTCTGCTTCCTGCTTGAAGGAACACCACAGCCTATTTAGCTGGAGGATGGATGGGGCTTCAGTCTGTTCTGGAACTGGATGATGAAACAAGTTGGCAGTGCTGGCATGAAAGTGGGTACCGGGGGGCAGCTTGTCCTGCCAGACCTGTGCTTCTCTTCTAGTAGGATACAACTTAAAGGAATGCACTGCTGGTTCAGGATCCAGCCCCTGTTGCTAGGATGTAACTCCAGGAGTGCCCGAGTGCACTTCAGCAGAGCGTGGCCTTCTCTAAGAGATCAACCTGTTCACTTCTCTGGTGACATGAAGTCCTTTCCTTCTCCACTATTCTACCTCTGCTCTACACTACTGGGTTTGCTTGACACTCAAACAGGAGTAAAATCCAGTCAAACTCAATGCACAACTCTAGCTGCACTAGTCTGCTGAGGCACGTGCGTACCTTGTTGCTGCTCATCCACCCCTGAGATACAGGACCAAGATGCTCAGAGCATGTTTCTAAACTGCAGTAGCACATAGTCAGGTTCCCTCACGTGCAGCGCTTGCACTGTTAAAGTTTCACTTACTGAACTTGCTTCCTTCACTTGGCACAGCCCCATCCCTTGCAGGTGCTCCCCTTAGAGCTCCCTGCCACTTTGAGGTAAACTTCTCCCTTTTTCCTCTGCCTTGGGTTTGTTCTCTCCTGCTGGGACAATTCACTCTCCTGCTGCTGAAATGGTGATATGGTAGCTGTTCTACTGAGAAAATGGACAAAGCCTGCTGTGCCTTGTGCTTGGGAGGGCACAGATGAAAACACTACAGTTTATCAGCAAAGCTGGGCACAAACGTAGGATAGTGTCATACTGTAACTGGTTTTAGGACAGCCCTTGCTCTGGCTTTCTACACGGTGTTTTCCACTTACTGTAATAACTGAAATAATAAAACTAGTACAGCAACCAGACTTTGTCTTATTCTCACTCAGGAGGTCTCTGAAGGGTTTGTTGCCACCCTCAGCGCTCCCTTGAGGAAATGCGTGGCTCCAATTGCCTTTTCAGCCTGCAGGAAGAATGCAGGGAACCCATACCAGGTGCAGCCTTATTATAAGGGTGTTTTTCCTCTGACTGTGATGGAAGTCAGCCTGTGATTAGTTTGGAGTGGCATTTCAGTGCTGCCAGAAAGAAGGGCTGCAACAGGATTTGTCTGTGTTACATCACTTGAGACAGCTAGGAGCAGCAGCCCTAACGCAGCTTCAACTCTGCCTGCTAGATTCGCTTTAGCTGAAGTAGAATTAAAAATGCTAGGAAAAAGACCTTCAGCTACAGAAGTCAGTTTTTCTATCAGGGAAATGAGCATCCAGGCCCACCCACTGTAATACCATGAGAAGTAAAGTAAGAGGTCTTCTATGGAAATGCAGAGCACGTATGCTTCCAGTCTCACACCAGCTTTACAAATTACAACAAGATGACGTTTCATTTTGCTGTCTTCCCCTGGGGTTGTGCTCAGGCTTGCCAGAGTGAAGTTTCAAGGGCTGATCCTTGGCTCCAAAGCCACCCCTGTGCTCTGCCTGGTGCAAAGCACAGCAGACGACTGCACACATCAGGCTTCTGGCACAACCATGCTGCCCAGGAGCAAAGAGGGCTTTGACCTCACTGCGCAGAGGACAGCAAATACAACTCCCACCTCTTAATCCTATATCAGAGCCTCGCAGGAGCACCAGAGAAATCAGCCCTGCCCAGGGCAGCTTCCTCTGCAAATACTCAGAATTGCTCAGGTGCTTCTGCAGCCCCCACAAATGGCTGTGGGCTAAAAAGGAAGGAGTGGATTCTTCTCAAGGACCATTCATGGCTTAAGTATCTTTAATGGACAGAGCAGTACTTGTCACTTGTACTTGTCACCAGTCTGTTTCATCGTTCAGAGCTGGAGAGAAACACCAGGTAGTTACTGATTCCCTTTGGGAAAACAACAGCTCCAGCAACACAAGATATTTCAGCCACTCACAGGACAGAGGCAAAGAGCAGTTTGTCAATGAGTAACTCACCAGCTGGTAGAGCAGCCTGGCAGAGGTACCACAGGTAACTTGACCTCTTGGGAGCAACAAGCTCAGAACAAGCTGTATTCTGTAAGGGCAGGTTTCACCTGAGAAATACGTGGTATGAATTCTCCCAGAGCATAACATTACCAGGTGGGGACTGTCATCCCGTGTGCCCTGCAGTAAGCAGGGCCTGCATGCCAGGAGCCACGCAGCTGGTTCATGAGAAAAGGCTACAAACATGAAGATTTCTTTTTTCAGTAAAAAAACTCTTTCCCCCCTTCTTGTAAACCACTAGACAAGCCTGAGCAACATCAGTTCTCCAAGCCACCGTGCTCACTGCTCTCATCCTTCTCTTCAGCCAGGCTGCTCTCGTCGATGTTCTCCAGCGATGCAGCACGCTGCAGTGCCAGCTCCGACAGCGCCAGCACGGGAAGCTTGTTCTGCTCAGGGTACAGCCAGGGCTTCATGTTTAGGTTGTGCTGCTGCTTCCAGGCAGGGTACTGCACGCAGGCCTTGTGCAGTTTCTTTAACATCTGATCAAAAGCAGGGAAGCACAGAGGGAAACAACAGTGGCAGCTTAGACCAACTCTCGGCAATCTGCCCACTGCTGACAGCTACTGCATTTCTTTTCTGGCTGCATAGGAGCTCAGGAAAGGCCAGTTTTTAGCTTCCTTGTAGGACCATTTTCTAATTGCTCAGATCTCCCAAATACATCAGCTGCTTTAGGAAAAGTGAAATCAAACTTCCTATAAACCATCAAGGCACAGAAAACCTCTGTGCCTGTCCTGCTCTGCTGCTTGGTTTAGGTCCTCCGAAAGCTCCTGAGCCTCGAGGTCCTCTTCAGATGTTGCATGAACAGCAGAGGGGAGGGAGGACATTCCACAAGTAGAAACTGGAATAGTGGCATTATTCACCTCCCTCTGGCTTCGGAAATGAATCAGTCAGCTGTCGGGACTGGTAAGGCTGACAGAATGCAGTGTCACACTGAGGTGAGCCATGATGCACATTGCTAGTGCAGCTCTGCTGCCCAGGGACACCCATTCTCCAGCCCTGTGCTCCAGCCATGGGGTGGCACTTGGCATAGGCACCATAGAAACGCTCCACTCACCTGCGGCACCAGGTACTGCGAGGCTTTATTCACAACCCACTTTGGCAACGACCCTAATAAATTTGGGGGAGAAAACCTGAAGTTATTGCACCAGAAAATGGCTTTATTTCTACCAAGTATCCAACAGCCCTGATAGCAAGCTGTGGCATTAGATTTAACCAGAGGGTCTGGAACAGGGTAGGGCCATGTAACGTAAACACACTCTTGGCTTATAAGCCAGATTTCCACTGTGACCAGAATTTGCATCACCACACCACAAGTCCAGCAGCACCAGTTACCTTTTGGATCCACCTGAGCCAGGTAGGTGAGGCTGCAGCTGTTGGGCCCAGTTGAATGCACCAGGTATCCCGTTAGGAGACAGACCGCCCTCACCAGGTCCTTGCGCGGAGGGTATTTCTGTGCAGACACACCAGGCAGTCAGATGCTGGCTCCCATGCTCCCTGCCCTCTCCCTCTCTCAAGCACTGAATACACAGAGCAACGACCAGGCTAGATCAGCTGCCTCCAGCTGGGATCTCGTCCAGGAATTAGGAAGCTAATTGCGATGGGCTCTGGGAGTTCCACTTTACCCCAGACATAGGTGGGATCCTGGGATCCTGTAACAGGACAGCCTTCTAGCCCAGCCTGCTCCTCACTCACCGGGTGTTTGATGGAGAAGTTGATAATGGTGTGATACCCATCTTCCACCTGCCAGGCTCGCAGCATCACCACGTCCCTGTTCTTTAAGGGCTTTGGACATCGCCCTGGATGAGGAAGGGAAAAAGTTGCTTCCCCTGCCCAAGCACCACAAAGGAACCACGGAGCTCAGCATCCCTCAAGAGGCTCCTGCCTTGCCCAAGCATCCTCCCAACCTTGCTTTGCTACCTCAGTATCTCCACGCAATACCACTCCTATCCCTCAGCAGCCCACCTCACATAGCAGCAATGCTGAGCTGCATCCCGCACCCCAAATTATGTCCCTCCTGCCAGGCAGGCTGGGTAGGGCTGTACCTTGCTGAACACAGACCAAGGCTTTACAAAAGAAGGCCAGCACCACCCCTCGGCCCCCTGCACTCACAGGCATAGTAGCCCACATCAGCGTTGGCAGCCACCTGGGCAATGTCGTGCGTGTCGATGACGTTGGTGTCCCACTGCCGGCGATACTCGCTGTCGTGCAGCACGTCGTACATCGTCTCTGCCGGCACGTCCGGGACATCGATGCGGCACTGCAGGGAGCACCGGGAGCTCAGAAGAGGCTCCGAATCCGACCACCGGCCCGGTGCTGCCCCCGGCCCTCACCTTGAGCTGGTGCACGGCACAGCCAGGCGGTGGCAGTTGGAGACTGACGGCGAGCCCACCGCGGTCCCGCTGCCAGCTGCCATCCTGACAGCGCTGCCTGAAGGCACGGAAAGCAGCGGCGTCGGGCACCTGCGCCCGCTCCATGCGGCCCTGCACCGGGACAGTGCCTCCCAGCCCCGCTCCGTCACCACCCCGGGGCCGGGCAGAGCAGCTCCCGCCCCCTACAGCCACGTCAAAGCTGCCAGCAGGACAGAGGAGGTGTTGGTGAAATAACTTTATTTAGTGTGATACACGGCTGTGGTCGGACAGTCCATACTCATAGTAATAGTCACACTTGGCTAACAGCTAGGAGACAGCAGGGCCAGACACACACTCAATATTATACACATCCATAGAGAAGACAGTGGGAAGTGAACTATTTTATTTCACTAGTTACCCCTCCCCCCATTACTTATGGTCCCCCCCTTTTCCCCCCCAGGCCCGTGACTCAGAACAATACAAGGGCAGGCACAGTGCACTCCTGCCCATGAGAAAGGGACAGCAAAACCTGTTCTACAGCAGACACACACACACCAACAAATATCAGCAATTCCCACGTGACAGGAGTATGTACAGAGGAGGGGCTGAGTTCCTGCTGGGGCTGGGCGCAGAGGACCCAGCCATGCCGGCTGGAACTGCGGGTAAGGGGTAGGGACACTCCAGAATGAAATGGGGAAATGACATCCCAGCTTCCTCCTGCAGGCCAGCTCATGTGGAGGGAAGGGACAAAGCTCTCTGAGAACAAGGGCAGCCACCTGCAGCTCGGTCACCAGATGCCAGTAAGCCAACATGACCAGGAAGCAGCCACGGCACTCCGACCAGGCACCTCTCCAACAAGGCCACCAGCACCCAGCCCGAGGTCACCCCCTCCCCTCCTTCCCCAGCCCACAGGTTTCAAAGTGCACACGCTGTGTCAGTGACCGACAAGGCATCCTGCTAGGAGGGCCTCACTAACCCAAACATCACTGTCCCTGGTTGTACCCTTAACACCGTGGCACGCTGTGCTGCTCCCCCCCAGCGGTGATACAACATAGGCTGGGTGACGAAAGAACTGGCGAATGGCTTAAAACCACCTGGCTGTTCTTTTTCTCCTCTCTGTCAACAGACCTCCTGACTTCTGGATTGGTCAGATGGACAAACACACACAAAAAATATCACAATGAAAGTTTACAAAGAGCTCTACTAACATGGTTAGAAATCAGGGGCAGGGAGCTGAGGGAAAAGCGAGCTATTTCCCAACCTCAGGCATCCAGAAGTGACAATACAATGCACTCTAGCAGTGTACATTCCCCTACTCACCCATGGTAATAAATCCCTGCTAGCACTTATCTCTGCTACCACTATTCCAAAAGCAGCAGGGTATTACCCCCCACTCTCTGAGACCACAACAAAAGCAGAAGCAGCTGTGTGTGATTTCATTGAGCAGCAACCTAGATATGAAGCCAGAACAGCTATCAGTGGCCTGCAATTTGCTGTAGCCCACCTGCTCTCCTAGGCTATGTGACCGCAAACAGAAGGATGGAGACTAGGAAAGGAACCTGAACAGCACACACGATTCCCAGGTATTGCTCCTGCAGTGATGGGCTCCACAGAGCTGTTTGCTTTCGCTGCTGACAGAAAAGACTGAGGTCCCTACAAATCACCCTGAGGATTTCTCCCCACCCACCTTCATGCTGCAAAGTCTCTGTACCCATTTCCTTCCCCACATCTTACTGCCAACACACCAAGCACCAACATCCTCCAGACAGGAAGATACTCACACTGCAGGGAGCAATCTGTGGGATGTCTCTGCTACGCAGATGGGAGCAACAAGGCTGAAGCAAAGAGTTTGGGAGTTTCCAGTGTTTTGCGTCACATGAGGGTCAGAGTGCAGGGCAAAACCCAGAAGTCATGAGCAAAACTTAGCCAAGATCATCCACAAAAAGGAGAAACCGAAGAGCAAACATTGTGTGTGTGCCCTGCAGGAAGCCTAGAAACAGATAACCTGTACTGCCCAAAAAGGCAAGGCCAAGTCTGAGTGACTGTTGTAAAAGGAGCAGCCTTTAAACAGAGGAAGTGGGGATGCAGAACAGACAAGACTGGAGTGGACAGGAGCTAGTTAATATGCAAGGCAGTAAAGGAAAGTGGAAAACCCACCCCCAAGCTTTATTTTTTTTTTGTCTTTTCCCTAACTTGGTGGCTTTTCCATTGCATTCACATGATATATCTGAGCAGACAGGCTCAAGGTGGGAAAGGGGAGGAAGAGAGAGAGAGAGAGAGAGAGAGAGAGAGAGTGTAAAGGGCACCACGGTGCCAAAGTGCAACAACATAAAAAAGTAAAATAAAAGACAGGACACTCATTCTGCACTCAAGGCTCATACCATGCAGTAAGAGGGGCGGCCAGGGCTGCTCCCCACCGTAAACAGGGAGTTCGCTCGCTTAGTAGATTGTTTTTTCAGCCCAAAGTAGGGTTGCCTAGCCAATGAGCAGTGATGTTCTTCAGTGAGACTGGCCAGCTGGGGAATGTGCTGCTACAGAACGGGCCTGTTAGCAGGAGCAACCGCTCTCCGTTACTGGCTGCTCAGGAGGCTTCTCTAGTTTGATGTCAATCACTGCAGGAGGTAAGTTAAGGAAATCACCCGTCTCAAGGAGAAGAAAAAAGACCCAGAGAGCATGATCAGTATCGTAAAGAGTTGTCAGCAGCCCTTCTTGGTCAGAGCAGAGCGCACTTACAAGCAGTTCTGTGTATCTACAGAGACCACAAGCAGAGGCCACACTTCACGGCTGCAGGTAAGCACCACACTGCTCCGTTTTCAGCTGTGTATCTGAAAGACCCCCCTGGCCCCATTCCCTCCAATGTGCCAACAAGCCAGCGAGCCCACACTCACAAAGCATTAATTGCCAAATCCTATGATATCCAGAAAACAAGGATACTGTCTTCTTTGCTCTTCTCTGGTGTGCTGTCCATCCCGGGTAAGGCAGCAGCCACACGACGGAATAGCTGAAAGGCAGCAACAGGTGAACTGAGAGCTCCTCGGAAAGAAATCCGTGTCAGGAACTAAAAACACCACAAAACCCACCCCATACTGCTCCATGGCAGACCTGAGCATCTTACAGACTTGTTACGTGGGTATTTTAGCAAGCAAAGCAACAATCAAATGCCACAAGACTTTTTTCCATAAACAATTTAACGAGCCTGCTTAAGGAAATGAAGCCACTGAATGCCTACCAAACAGGTGACTTGCTTTTATCTGCTTTTCCTTGAGCTGAACATGGAGTTCTTTCTCATTAGAAATTGTTCATCTAGGGATGTACAAAAACAAATCCCCCCTGCATACAGGTAAGCATCTCAGAGGCTATCATTTACTATTTCCAGCCTCAACTGCTTTCACACACAGCTACATTACAGTGCTTGGCTCGGGACCTCCAACAAGCCTTTAGTTTGTTCAGAGGTGTGCTCCAGAAGCCTGTGGAACAACCAAGGCTCTACAGCCAACCCTTTCAGTTCAGTCCTGCTGTGAAACAGCCACCTCTGGGCAGAATGGCCAGCCTGGGTGAGCTGCTTTAAGCTATTAAGGATGTACAAGAGCTGGGAAGGACAAGCATATGCTCATAAAGACAGAAAATGGTTTTGCATAGTTTTAAACCAGTGCTCAGAGCTCCTCCTGCCACCATTAATGAAGCAGCAAACAACACAGACACTGCTGGACAGCCAGGTGAAGGATGCCGTGTAAAAGCTTCTCATTTAAAGGACTAAAGGAACCACCAGCTGACAATGAATTTTCTTCACAGTAGCTTGGCAGAGGTTCTCATCCACACCTTCAAAACATGTCACTTGGAAAACAAATCAAGGCACTGAGCACCAAAACAGCCTCAGGAACAAAATTCACCCCCTAATCCTATCACCAGGCTCTTCCAGCCAGCTGGTGTGCAGCAAAGTTCAGCAGGTATCCCAGCTGGCAGTTTCCCAACACTACTCACACTTATGCTCTCTGCAGATCCTTTACCTCAGCTGTAAGGTAGCTGAGCACTGGGGCAGGTTGCCTGAAGAGATGGAGTCTCTACTCTTTGGCATATTCAAAATCCAACTGGAGTCAGATCTGGGCAGCCTGCTTTAGCTGACTATGATTCGAGCACGAGGGCTGGACAAGATCTCCAGAGATCCCTTCCAACCTCAATCATTCTGCAATTTCTTTTTTGTGGCTCGTCAACAGAACCAGAAACTTCCACTTGAAGCATCAGCACATGCTACTGACTCGACTGGAGTCAAAACTGATTTTACAAAACTGCGTTCACGGTTAGCAGCAGCAAAGGGAATGGATGGAATGAAGTCAGACAGGCTGCACTGAGCACTGCCATTTCTATTCCTCAGCATATTTCATTTTTAGATCCTCTTATCTTTCAAGGTAAGTTTCCTTAGCTTTAACAGGGATTCACTGATTTGACACGAGGGAAGCTTTCACTAGGTAAAGCAGCAGCAGTGACCACTGGGCAAGGAGCATTTCAGAGGCTGACAGCAAATACAAGCAAGTATCTGAAGGAGATCTGAAGAACACGAACCCCAAGCAGAAGCTTAATCCTCCCACAGAGCAAAAGGAAAGTACAAACTTCCTGCCTCGAGAACAGAAGATCCATCTACCTGTTTCACATTGTATCCAGTCTTTGCACTGGTCTCAATAAACATCACATTCAGCTCTTTGGCTCTCTGTTCCCCTTCTTCTGTAGTGATTTGCCTGGACAAAGGTGCAAACAGAAGCAGAAAGACAGAAAGGAAAAACAGTCAAGAGGAATTGGAGATATCTGTGAGTGAGACACTGGTCAGTGAAAGGCCCATTCACTGCCCATCACCAGGGTGCAGAGGCCAGAAGTGGAGACCTCAGGAGCTCTGGGCATTTAAGACCCCTGAGTTCTCCAGCTGAGGAGACGTCAGGCAAGTGATTCAGAGAGCAGCTGGACTTCAGACCATTACTAAAGGGTGATCAGCACAGGATGAAGTTTTATGCAATACATTTGAGTCTCATTCACAGCATTCCCAAGGGAAGGAAGAATCCCCATGAGCTGCACCTGCTGCAAAAAGCCATTTCCCAAAAGCCAACTGAAGGGAACTCCACAAGATTGCAGAAAGAAATCAGAAAGGCTCTAGCAGCAGCTACAGCTTGTGTGCAAGCACCTGCAAGTGCATCTCTGACCAATGCCCTGTACATACCTGTTTCACATTATATCCTGCTTTAGCACTGGTTTCAATATACATCATATTCAGTTCTCGGGCTTTTCTCTCACCCTCCTCTATAGAAACCTGTCTACAGCAATGAGAACAAATCACAGAAAAGAAAAACCAAAACAAAGAAAAATAGTCCAAAAACTGATAAAAAGAAAACTGCAGAAAAACCAGCCACCAACTGAAGCAACATGAACAGGAAAGAAAAACTAACAGGCTGCAGCAAATAAAACCACTGCTATCCTGAGTTCAGCTTCTTGGCACCAGAACTCAACCTGAATCATCACTCAGGGGGAATGGGTTCCAATATGCTGTATAGTACTTAAAAGAATAATGTGATAAGGTTCAAACTGATAGTGTGTTTTTTTCCAGAATTAAGAGGCCCAGCATTGCAGCTTGCCACAGAGCTGCTTTTATTTTACAGTTCTGGTCAAGACAGTGGGGCTTCTTTTACTGATGCCAGGATTTACATGAAACTGCAAATTCAAGCCTAGGCCAGGACTGCTGGCACTTAATTAAACTTCTGATTTTCAGTGCTACATCAACTCCAACCACAGCTATGGTTCAAATAAGTTTCTGGTTTTTATATTTGTATGGCAGAGATGAAACAGCTGTTCTGCACACTCTTCTGTACCACCAGAAAATAACGCAAGGCAGGAATTTTCCCACTGGGTTTTACAGTTCTACCAAAAAAAAAAATGCAAATTGGTACAAATTAGCCTCAAATCTGAACTCCAGATTATTCAGTTAGAGAGCTGCAGGTATTTCCAGCTCCTGGGAGGGCGTAAGTGATAGCAGCTGGTCAGCACACAGAGCTGCTGAATGAACTACAACCCATCAGATTTCATTCAGATGCTTTTAGGAGCTGAAATCAGAGGCCAGACCACTCTTGACTTCTTGCTACCTGGATTTCTTAACCTAAGTCAGCTCTATACATCAATCCCATTTCTGAAGCTCTGGGGCACTGAGTTCCCCCAATGTTTCTGGGGCGTAAGGCATGGATTACTTGCACTGGCCTCCAATGGAGCTGGGAAAAGTAGAACAATTGATGGGAAGGTGTGAAGGGCAGAGGAAACATCTCCACAAGTATCATCAGTGCAGAAGCCCACGCAGCACTCAGGAAAACCTCAACTATCATGAGTTTTAGTACTGTGCTTTTCCTGCTAGGCACAGCAAACTAAAAACTAATAGCACGACTTGCACCGGGACAAAGGGCAAAAAGCATCCTTGTACAGCCAGGGATGCTGGCTCTTGTCTCACATGAGCATTTGTACAACACCAAAATGTAAGGGGAAGGAAAAAATAAAGCACCACGATATTTCCCATGGCAGGATTTACATCTCAGGGGTGAGTAAAGCAAAGTTTACGATTTAGAACATGGCAACATCCAATAATGGAACGGTCAGACTGCTGTTAAGCACATCATACTGAGGAGAAAAGTAAACAAGCAGGCAACCCAGGTAATAGTGCAGGATTTCTTTTCTGAGAAAACAGCTTCTGAAGATGGTATCTTGTGATTGGAAGCGTCTCATGAACAGCCAGGTTTTGATTTCATAAGACTCTGTTTTACTGTGACATCCAGGCATTGCCCAGTTTTTTTTTTTTTCCTGAGATTCTTTTACACCAAATAAAAATTCCTCA